ACGCTCGTGGAGCGGTTCTTCGCGGCGGCGCAGTTCCGCAACGCGGCGCTCGAGTGCCTCACGGAGATCGCGTCGCTGTCGGACCTCGAGCCCAAGTACGACGAGGCCTTCGTGCGCCTCTACGTCGGCGCGCTCCAGGCCCTGGGGCAGATCGTGCCGCGCGACGCGTCGTTGGCGGCGGCGTTCGACGCGGCGAGCGGCCGCGACGCGGACCAGCTCTTCGTGAGCCGGCTGGCGCTCTTCTTCAGCGGCTTCTTCAAGGCGCATTTGCGGCTCGTGGAGACGCGGGAGCACGGGCAGGCGCTCCTCGAGGGGCTGCAGTACCTCGTGCGCATCTCGGCCGTGCCGGACAACGAGGTCTTCCAGATCTGCCTCGACTACTGGCACGCCTTCTCCCAGGACCTGTACGCGTCGGAGACGGGGCGGCCCGTGGGCGCGCCGCGGCCGGGCGCGCCGCCCGCCGAGGGCGAGGACGGCTTCGACGCGGCGGCGCCCGACGCGCCGGCGGCGCTGAACCTCGGCGGCGCGGCGCCGAACCGCTTCGGCGGCGGGCCCGCGGGCGGGGCCGCGGGGCCCAACGCGGACCGCAAGGCGTTGTTCCAGCACGGGGGCCTGCTCTCGCAGGCGCGCTTGGTCATCATCAGCCGCATGTCCAAGCCCGAGGAGGTGTTGGTGGTCGAGGACGAGAACGGCGAGATCGTCCGCGAGATGTTCAAGGACACGGAGGCCATCGCCCAGTACAAGACCATGCGCGAGACGCTCGTGTATTTGACGCACCTCAACTACGACGACACGGAGTCGATCATGCTCGACAAGCTCGCGCTCCAGGTCGACGGCACGGAGTGGTCCTGGGCGAACCTGAACACGCTCTGCTGGGCCATCGGGTCCATCTCCGGGGCCATGAGCGAGGACGAGGAGAAGCGGTTCCTCGTGACGGTCATCAAGGACCTGCTGGGGCTCTGCGAGGTGAAGCGCGGCAAGGGCAACAAGGCGTGCATCGCGTCGAACATCATGTACGTCGTCGGCCAGTACCCGCGGTTCCTCCGGGCGCACTGGAAGTTCCTCAAGACCGTCGTGAACAAGCTCTTCGAGTTCATGCACGAGCTCCACCCGGGCGTCCAGGACATGGCCTGCGACACGTTCCTCAAGATCGCGCTCAAGTGCAAGCGCAAGTTTGTGACGCAGCAGCCGGGCGAGGCGCGGCCCTTCGCGCGGGATCTGGTCGCGCAGCTCCCCGCGATCATCTCGGATTGGAGCCCCACC